TTTGTTTTTTTTTTGTTACTTTAAGCTTATGTGTTTATTTTACTTATTATTTCTCATTATTCATTCACTTTTTATTTATTTAGCTATATTACTTTTTTTAATATGAAACCTGATATACTGTAACCAAAAAAGTAACCTTGCTTCTATGAAGGTGGGTAGTGTCGCAAAACTAGAAAGAAGTATTATTAATTAAAAATAATAAAGAACAAAACATAGTCGTCAATAATAAAAGACAGAGCGGAACAAAAGGGGAGTGCTTGGCTATTTTTTCTGGTTATTCCGGCGTGCCATAATCGTGAAGCAGCTTGATAAGTGTATTACTCTGATATATCGGTTCCTTGTAATAAATTCTAGTGCCCTATTTTAAATTCTCTTCTTTATGAAAAAATGTTCCCTCGCCATCTAAATAGGTCATTCACCTAAAAATAGCAAACGTTAGTTTAGGTGAGTGTCTAGAACTCGCTAAAAAAAGTAGTGTAACATCTGCGATGCCACTGTTTTTTATGCGGTGGGCAGTTAAATATATCCAATAAACTAACATTAAACACATCGTGGAATTTCAGCAAATTGTCAGGCAAAGAGATTATCTTTTTCGTTAGTTTAAATAACCCGATTAATTAGTTATCCAGTTTTTGTGTAAAGAAAAAGGTATAATACTTTTGCTGTAACATCTTTCAGTGGACATCTTAACGAGTCCTGTAGGAGATGTGATTTTTGATAAATTTAGCGTCCGCTTCTTGAGCCAAGAAGTCCTAAAACTTTAGTAGCGAATTGCAATTATTAGCCACGTAATTCTAGAATAAGAAACTCTCTAGAGCTGTTAATGGGTTTAATTGTTCTAGTGGCCCATTTCGAAGTAATATACGGAAAATGCATAATTTTATTCTACCAGTCATTAACCTTCGAGTAGAAAAAAATAAGAAGTGGCCAAAAATTTAGAAAGAAACTGGGGACATTACTAGAGTAAAATTTTTTGTTTTATTATAATACAAATTATAACAAAAAGCAGCCTTTCAGAAAATATGGATTTAATCTTACCTAAATAAAAACAGTTTTAAAAGGCATATTTGAATATTATTTTGACGTCGGGTTATGCACGTAAAAAGGTAGGTCATGCAATTCATTGTGTTTTTCCAATGGTTATTTAAAATTAGTAGAGGTTAAAAAAACATTCCACCCTACTGTGAACGATTATATCATTTTTTTCGGCAAAAAACGAGATTGTGTTTTCTTTAGATAGGCGCCCTCGACGTGACCAGTTTTTTTGCAAATTGTGCATGGTTCATTAAAGTAATAGAATAAGATATAGCCATATTTTTTGTTGCATATTATGCATACAATTTAACCATCCTTTACTTTTTTAGTATTTTTACATAATACTTTAGTCATGTAGGTGACTTGTCATCTTTAAAAAAGAATTGTAAAACAAGTGGTTAAAAAAAATTGCTTATTGATTATTCCTCTCTATATACTTATCTCTCGGATTCTGCCAGCCAATGAGCTTCATTGTTTTTGTAATAGTTTTTGCTTTGTCATTCCCAGCACACAGACGCATAGTCCTTACAGGGTAAAATAGGTAAAAGAAAAAGATAAAGTTTATGGATTAGTTTGCGCCAATCATTAATGGACTAAAACCACTAGCTGTCGCAGCCTTGGAGATACATATAATTTGATCTAAAATATAAGTTTGTACTCCGGGTTATTATTAGCCCTTGGCGACAATCTCTTGCCAACAGCATATGTAACCCTTCTTACTAGACTTATCTAGATAATATCTGTGATGTTCTCTATCCCTTTTTTTAATTAACCGTAAGGACCATGCTGGGTACTAAGAATTTTAGGTTTAAATGAAAATTTACTTTTTCTAGGCCGATGATGTCGCTTGCCGTTACGTAAATTTAACAATTCCTGATTTTTTTTGGTGTCGAGTTAATATTTAATTTGGCCATACCTTCTTGCTGTGGGTTGTTAAGGGTTGAATAAGATGGTGTTAAAGCTTCAAATGCGAAAGCATTTCATGACTGGGTGGATAAAACCTTATAGCTAAAGTTTTGTTAATTTTTCTTAAGCTTAGCAATAACTCATATGCAAGTGTCTCAGTCTCTTGTGAGCACCGCCCGCACTGGTTTTTCATCAGCGTATATGGATGTTTCCGATGAAGATATAATTCCTTTGTAAATTTTACTAGTGCTTTAAGTCTTAAATTTGCCCAATGCTATGTATTCCAATTTCGCACGCTGACTTGCGTATTTTGCATCTGTCGGCATTTTCATGAACTACGATGTTACTAACTGTAATCATAATTCCCTTATCAGTCTTAGAGGACTCCGAACAGCATCTTAGTCCCAAGGGACTGTAGTGGTTATCCCACTTTTTGTAAATTAGTTAGTTTTTTGTAATAAGTAGAGAGATGAGTACGCGAAGAGTTGATTATAAATGTGAAACTTCAGTGTTCTGTAGTTATCTTACAGTTGCTGGTTGGAAATGATATGTTCTGAAGGAGGTAATTAACAGACATACTCTTTGTTTGTGTCGTTTGTTAATGCAAGTTTTAGTTTAATAAATATTTGGATGAGCGTCTTTACTTTATTTTCAACGTTTTTTTTAATGTCATACCAATTCCTAATACCCCTTCAACGCAATTATAATTCCAATTTAAGTCCCTTTTTATATCAGCTGTGTGTATATCTAACCCAATAACACGGTATACAGAACACCTGACAAAATTTAAAACACAATATACGGGAAACACAAAAACAAGAAAACAATAAACAAAAATAGAAAGGACAAAAGTAAACATAGATAACAAAAATATATTGTATAAGACTTTAAGTCTAAAGTACATAACCATAAAACATGCATAAACACAAAAAAAGAAACAAGCGCCAACACAAAACACTAACCCTCTTAATTTTCACAGGAAAAATGATCAGTGGTTAATCCAATCAGAAACCTGAGAAATAACCAATAAAAATACATAAAAAGAGCAATTAATATTTTAGCACAAAAAAAAATTTAATTTAACCTACTTTATTAATTGGATACAAACTAAACACTAAAATTTTGTCTGGTTCAATTTAAATTTATTAAATACATACTGAAGAACACTTCGACCTTTTGTAAAGGTATAAATACAAACCGAAACTGGTCAATAAAAGCACCCTTGATTTAATATACTTTTTTATATAAATTTTGGTAAAATCCAAGCTCTTCAATTGGTGGGCCATGGTTATTAGCGTTTGTCGCGGAGAGGAAAATGCTTCTGTATCCCTTGCGTTGTCTTTCTTTATATCCTTGTCATGCTTTATGGATGATTTTCATGTAGTTGACAATATATTAATGCCTTCTGTTAATTCAGGCAGTCTGATGATTGTAAATCCATCGTGTTTATTTGTCAAGTTCGGTTCATAGATAGCCGCTTTTTGGTGTTCCGTGTCAGCTATTTTATAGATTCGTTATAGGTTGGTGAAGAGAGAGGTTCTATGTCATATTAAGTTAGTTTTAGGCTCCTTTCCTTGGTTCTAAATCTCTAATTTAATTTGTATATTCGATAGCCAAAGTTCGATTTGCTTGTTTTTAAATTCGGATCTGCTGGGCCTAGGGTGTTGGTGTTGTGTGTAGTAGGCGATTAATTCTTTTTTTTCTTTTTTTTTTTAGTTCTCTTTGTGAGTGTGTCTAATATTTTGTAATGATATATATGAGAAAAAAATTTTACAATCTTTTTTTTCGTTCTACTTTGGTAGAACAAGCTAACTATCATTTATAGCGTGGTACCAAATTAGTTTGTTCTAACGAAGTATTTCCATAATTAAAATCTATGCTACTGACTTGGAGTAATCTCGTGCTTTAGCATTGACCATTGGTCTAGAGATCTGTTAGAGGTAGTAAATTATTTAACTTTCTATCTTATTATTTGTAACTTTTTATCTTATTAACTTTTATCTTACTAACTACCTCTAACAGATCTCTATTTGAATCAAGGTTATCCTTACGAGCCTTGGAAGAAAATAACTTATTTTGTACTGTGTTTACATTCGTTACTACTAATCAAATCAAACTGACAATCAGGTAACGATCTTATCGAATAATCTATAATAAGAATAAATGAAATTTAAAATTAAATATATAGTTGAATTAAAATCTAACATAATATAAATCAAATAACATAATATAAACATAATTCAACTGATTGAATAGCACTAGTTATAATCACGGTGCCGGTTACCATCTTGCATTTTATTCAGAGTTACAATTTCCATTGCTCGTTTTGGTTTTCCATGCTCTCCTTGTTATTTTCGTCATTGCAGCGTTCTCCTTCGTCAGAGTTTGTAGGCTGCGTTGCTGGGTTCCTGGTAAGATCATAAATGGTAGGTGTATGCTGATTTGTTTAAATTACGCATGTTGTTTAGTGTTTTTAATGTTAGTTTTACTTCTTCGCCTTACAGTGTTATAAAAGATATAAACGTTCAAAGCATACTGTGTTTTTTGACTTAATAATATTTTGTCTTAATGTTATGGATTCTGTATTTGTCTACCGCATTGTAAAGGAGAGTAGCAGTTCATGAATTTGGTTTTATTTTCTGGATTGTCGACTAATACTTGCATTTAAAAGGTTTATAGAGGATATGTCTCTTTAATTCCAAATATTTTATTGGTGGTAAGATTTTCCTAGTTCTGGGAAAGCCAGTATTTGTCATTGTTCAACCCTGCTTATTTAAAATTGCTTCTTGTCATGTTACTCAGGATTAATTACTTCGTTTCGTAAACATGTATTGTACAGTATATGAAGTGGAGAAACACGTTATCGTGCAAAATTGTTTCAAATGGATTACTTTAAAATTTATACACATTAAACTTCTATGTTCTAGCTACATTTTGTTAATACTTGATCTTCAATTGGTTTAATATTCGAAAAGATATGAGCTTGTAAGGTTGAAAGATTATAGAAACAATTTTGCACGTAGAAAAATTAATTTAATAAACGAGGTTTTAATAATTATTATAGCTCCCTTTTGCCAGAATCACTGTTTAATACACTCTTCCTGGGCGCGAGGATTAATTTTTGTCCCATTTTTCAAAGCGGAGCTTTCACAAGTAAATAGTCAGTTCTATTTGTGTTTTATTGTTATGTTTAAAGGCATGAGTGATGTTAACTATGATTAAAATGATGAAAAAGTTCTACTTTAGTAGAACAAAATAACTAACTAACAATCTTGAAATGCTAGCAAATTAAATGTTCTACTAAAGTAGAACGAAAAAGCAATAAATTAAATTAAATCCTAGTTATGCTGTTAGACCCTACAGGGGGACTTAACTACAGTCGTCCCAGGTTCCTTGCCTGCCTTAACCTTATCCTAGCGATTAAAGGAATTATTTTAATTTATTGTTTTTTCGTTCTACTTTAGTAGAACAATTAATTATCTAGAATTTCTAGACTGTTAGTTAGTTATTTCTACTAAATTAGAACTTTTTCATCATATTAATCATAGTTAACATCTAGACTCTGCTACTCTTTTTAGCAACTTCCTCAGTCTTTTGTAGTAATCTGGAGCTTCTTTCCTAGCATTAACGAGTGATCTATAGATCTTGACAGTTATCTCAAACTTTATTCAAGTTCATTAAGGTGACTTAGCTTTATATTTGTATATATATATTTGCAGCTAACTCTAACTGATCTATTGCAATAATTAAAGTTGGTACAGTCATTAACTTTAAAAAGATAAACGAAGCCCTAATAAAGATAATCTAATATGGAAACACTTTTAAAATAACCCACTAAAGGCTAACTCCTCTTCCACTGGATAAATGCTTTCGTACTAGCTAAACCCTCTCAAAATATATGTATTTTCTGTAGTCGCATTCAGAGATCTATGCTCAATCGTACATGTATGCTAACTTGGCTAAATTATCTTGGCTATTATAAAGTCTAACTCAATTAGATGGCTACCGCCTGAATGAAATTGTTCCGTTTATTCTGTGTTGTAGTTTAACTGCTAAACTATCACGCTCGGATAAAACCAGTTCAAACCTGACCAACACCTTGGCGCTTCGCCCATTCACCTTGTTGCAGTCTTTTACCTCTCTATAGGTTGTAGCACTCATTTAACTTTATTGAACTTTTGTTCAAACAGTGCTATTAATCTACAATAATTTAGCACCTTGATTGAACAGTAACATGGGAGATACATTTTTTTTGGCTCCCGTTGCTGGTGGCTCTCTTTGCAAGTTACTTTAACATCTCTATCTTACCCTTTTTGCGAGGACTCGCAAATAGCCTTTTTATCGCTGCGACCACAGCGATGTAGGCGGCTGCCATCATTTAAAGATTCCGTTTGGGCAGCTGTGTAGTTTGGCCTGTTAATGGCAGGGCTAGGTTCATTTTCCTGCCTTGGACAGGTGGCTTGAAACCACTAGATGAGCTATCGCGATAATTCTGTATATTCTTCCTGGGTGCGAGGATTCCTTTCTGTCCCTAGGCTCAGCGTCGTACAAGTGCTTGTAACAGACAAGCCTACATATAAAATTCGCATCCAGCCTTAGCGTTATTCCTGTCCGCTACCCGCGGGCTACGGTCTACGGTAGTAGAAAAATTGCCTTTCGGAGGGGGAATGCAGCGTGAATGCAATAACAACTTTCTCGGGCCATTCACCCTCTACGTCGAAACAGGTGTTACCTGCAGCTACATATTGATCATTGTAATTATTTACCAAACCTTTTCCCTGTGATTATGGTAACCTTCCTGAGTTCGGCTCTGTTGTAAGAGTTGCGCTGTATTTCGGAAGGCTGCAAGTGCTTCAGCGCGGGTTGAAAGATCTTCAAAAACTTGGTAAAAACTCCGAGGCTGGCTAATGTCTATGGGCAAGTGAAATCTTCCCTGTATCTTTGGATGCAAAACTCGTGGCGTTCGCAAACTAACCTATTAAATCGCTGACTAAACCTGGTTCATTCTCTGACGACTTTAGTTATTAAATGTTACGCGATGAATATTAGTATCGCCCGTAGAAGTTATCTCTTCTTACAGGTACTCAAGCAGAGCATGTGTAACCTTAGATGATAAGCAGAACCTGGTTCGTATGATCCCAATTTTCTCTTCAAGATTCCCATGCTTGCTCAATGGGAATGAGATTAAGAGATTGTGGCTGCCAGTCTAGCACTTGGAACGACTGAACTTGGAGCCATGATCGCACCGATAGTGCAGTGTGACATGGGGCATCACCCCGCTGAAAAACCATTTCACCAAAAGGCCAAGACCATACCAAACGCATGTTCTGGGTAGGTCATTCTTAATAATGTGTAAATACGTGCTTGCGGTGATGCACCCTGTCACTTTTCCCAAATATCCGAGCTCAGAATTTATACGGGATCAAATCATTAGTCGATCCTCCCCTATGTTTATACGTTTGCACTACCTGGTGGTCAAGTATTCGATTATCACCGTATCGCAACCAACACCAACTAATACCATCTGAACCATATCGATTGATCTTGGTCTCGTCTGGAAAATTACTTTTTTCCCAGTCAGAAATGGCCCAATTTTCCTACTTCGCAAACACAAATCTTAGTCGCTTGTGACGGTTTGTCAAAGTGGGTTTAATTAAATTTTTTTCGCATGCAGACCAGCAGAATGCAGTGCTCTCTATACGATCTGTCATGGAACTATCTATCTAATGTTGTTTTAATGATTTGATAAGCTTTCCATGCAGTGTCGATTGCACCAAAATCACTTGTCGCACAAGTCGAGCTACATACAGGTTTTTCAAGATCTTTGGACGCCCATATTCATTGCAATGACGATTTGGATCATATTGAGCTTTGATCTAGAATATTGTGGCCTTACTGACACCTCATTCACGAGCGATCTCAGTATAAGGCTGGCCTGACCTAAAAGATATTTTACATCTTTTTCTTTATCGATTGAAAGTTTACGCATTGTTAAATCAAGGTCCTCTAAATAAGCTATCCTTTATAGCCGCTCAAAGACAAAAAAAACCACCCTATGGAGTGATCATAAAAATTTCGTATAAAGACAAACAATTTTGCCCGAAGGGGGGTCACGTGCGAAACACGTTTCAATCAATACTTAAAAAGCGATAAAGACTTAAGAAAGCAATTCCTCTAATACTAACTAAATTAAATAGATTACAATCTAAACTTATATATATATAAGGGATTAGTATAACTGATTAATAATTAAAGCATAAAATTTTTACGAAAAAAAATTAAAATATGGAGACAATTTCGAACGGTACTGTAAGAACGCGAATTGTTAAAAAGACCGATGTAAATTAAAGTTAACGGCCTCTGCGCCGTTGTTGTCTTAGTCTCTTCGGTAAACCCTGGTATCTGTTTGTGGTTAAGACATCTTTTCAGAATAAACCTATTATGCGTAATGACTAATTTGGTTATTTGATGCTCTACTCGCTCTTTTTGCTCTGATAATTATAATTATAGTTTCTTCTTAGCTTTCGCAGCTGTTATGATGTTACATATTTGTTCTTAATATGGATACCGTGTGCCATTGCGGTGTGTCTATGTATTAGTAGTCCATCCAGAATTTTTTGTTTATAATCTCATTGAGCTTGCTTACTTCTGTTTTAGTTAGTAAAACAATTATTTTGCATTCTATATTTAGAAAATTCGGATGTTAGGTAATATGTTTTGAGTTGTCTGTAATTTGCATTGTCAATTGTGCTCAGAGCATTATGCTAATATTCCATGCATTTCATATTTTGTCATAAATGAGGGATACATCTATCTTTGATTAAATAAAGACCATTTTAGTCATCCTTTATTATAATCTCCGTTAAATGTGTGATTGTTACTGTTCGATTGTTAAAAGTAGTTGTGTACCCGCTTTCATTTAATTTTCTCCCAAAGCTAAGGTTATGTTTATGATTAGTCGTAGAGTTTCAATACTTAAGATGGTTTATTTCCCAAAATTTTTTGTGCAAATTTTTTCCTTTCGCCGCCTTGATAGAATTATTTTCGTTAATGCGTCGGTAGACGGCTGTACCAACCATCGTGGAGAGGGGTCTAATGGTTTTTAGTCAGTTCGAATGCTGATGTTGACCTGCTTGGATTCCTGAAGCGGATTGGTGGATTCTCTCAATAGTTTTAAGGTTACCTTTAGTTTCTTAAGCCAACTGTTATATTATATACTTTCATAGGTGCTGCTTTAGTTGTTCTCTCCTCTTTTGCTTTTACACATTTTTTTTTAGGTTGCCCCAGTTTGCGGCAGTAGCATTATAAATTTCTGTGCTTGCAAATTTGGCGCTCGTGAATGCTTTAAATCTGTAGTCATTAGCGTTAGGTGTTAATTTTTATTGTTGAAGTGGTAGCAGATAGGACCCTAATTCTCCTGCCTGAAGTCAGGGAAGCCGTCGCGCATAGTTTTCCTATTAAGCGTGTAACAAAGGGTTTGGCGCGTATTTAGTCTAAATCGTTTTTGTTTGTTGGTGTTAAAAGGGTTTGTATCATGCTTGTACTCCTCATCAGTTCGATCTATTAAAACATTCTTTTTAAGTAGTCAATGAATTTGGCAGATGAAAAGCCATCTGTCTGTATAATGGACCACCTGAATAGGCACGATTTAATGCTTTTTGTTCCTATTTTTGGTGGGGTTTTATAGTTCTTTTAGCTTGCCCATAAGTGTAGCAAGGGATTTCTTTCTGAAACGGCCTTCCGCGTTTATATGGTTAGTTCTTATTTGGTTATGTCAAGTTCTTGTATTTTGATTTGATACTCTTATGAAGCTATTTCGTTAAAATTCTATACCAGTAGGATACTTTTCAGTAGCTCACCTTAGTTATATCGACTTCCCTCCTATGGGATCATATATAAAGAGTATGTTCCCTGCGACTAAGTTTTTATTAATGTTTTTTTTAGAGACTTCTTTTAGCAGAAGTTCGAGTAGCCATATTATTTATCTTTAGTTACGGTCAAGTTGTGTATTAGTTTGAGTATTCAAGCTTATAATTTGATAACTCCCAATGAAAAGCCAGTCTAACAAAAGGTGGGCATTCTTGTTCTTATTATTTTAGTTCTAAATTTTTATGTTAAATAAAAAAAAATTGACTTTTTCTAGACCATTGGTGTCGCTTTAACAATTCTTAATTGTTTTCTTATCAAGTTATTTTAAATTTTGTTATCCTTAAAAATGTCAATCTTGTTTAAAGTTGAGCTATTGGATTCCACCTCCCTGTATTTGTTGCCAGAGTGATTTTCTATCGTATTTTCAATTGTCTACAGATATTTTCATGTGCGCGATTGTGATGTGGACTTCAACGAAGGCCTCATTAGTCCTTTCGCATTTTAAGATGTTCTACAATTTGATTGGAGAGCTGATTGATTTATAAAGGAAACATTTTCCCTATATTACTCATAAAAGGTGCCTTGTTTTATTTCCGGTGCGTTTCCTGCTCTGTATTTTTTTTTTAGTTTCATGGGAGCTAGTTTAGGTGTACGTTTTATAATGTCATGGATATTTTTTAAGACTTAATACTTTTAATTTTCTTTAAGTTCTCCTACACGAAATCTATGTATTCTTGCTCGAAATCTGTCTAAGAGCGTGTAGGTATGAACTGGATGATTATAGACCTGTAAACTCTCGATAATTGTGTTTAGTTTTAAAAAATAGTATATGCGCGTATGAGCAAATGAATTGCGGTGCGTTGTTAAGAAATTGGCTAAATTAGAGGGTGAAGACTCTTCCTTACGAACCAAGTTTAATGCCAAGTAAGCATATTTATAGAATTCTCACCAAAAACACTTACAAGTTCTTCTATTTTATTTAAAAATCATAAAGTAACGGAGAAGAACTGTTTATATGGAGGAAAGATTATGTTAGTGCCGACTACAAAAGATTCTTTGCAAGTACAGGAGACAGTATTTCCTACTAGGAGAGGTCTAACGAATGAAACTGAAACCCCCTTCCCCACTTCCCTATTTTAAGGGCTAATACTAACTGAACTACCTGTGATTTTCAAGGAAAGAGTGGATATTGATTGCCATTTATTTTTGTTTTTAATAGTAATGTATGAAATTTTTAGCTTGTCATTATAGCTACGATGAACTAACAAT